CTACTTTCTACTCACACGACCTGTAGCATGACCCGACTGTGAGGTCTGCCTGTTGTTATGGAGCAACTTTGTCAACGGTGCTAAAGTGACTTTTCCCGCTCATGTGTTGCTGGTCTCTGTTCAGCTGCTGCTGACACAGGTACGCACTTCTGTCACGTCCCTCTCAGCCACAGTGCCAGTGTCTGGCGCCTTTTGAATAGCAAAGCAGCTGGACACACTACACGCAGACCATAAAAACCACTGCGATCACGACTATCGGGCGCCAGCGCTGAGATCAGCGCGGCGGGCGACACTGTTACCTGTTTCTCACGCCGTCATAATGTCATACTTTCATACACTCGGTTTTATAACACGCTTATCACGTACAACTCAAAGTTCACGTCTGGTTTCACATCAGATGTGTGACTTCCCTCACCGTAGAAGAGTGGTCTGGGCTCCTCTCCCACCCCACAGGGCAGCATGCCGTTGTTCAGTGCCAGGTCTGGACCAGGTGTCTGTGTGCCCCGGTCTTCACACCTTATCTCCCTGAATGTTGTGTGCCAGCTGTGCGGGTCTGGCTCAAAGACATCGTCCTCCTCGTCATCCATGCGAGGGCACTATGAGAGGAGCGAACCTGTGGAAGGTAGACACCAGACAGAGGAGGCATAAAACACCAGCTGAATACAAAGTTGTTGGGGTTTTTTTTTCCCTCCAACTCTTCATCACAGTAACCTTGAAGAAAATCCACATTAGACCTGATGAGATGATCTCAGACACATTTATTATTCCTCAGCCCCTCTGGAGCAACCGTTATCATCACTGCCAAACTGTCTAGATTATAATGAGTGCACTCAAATCAATGAACCCACAATGGGCACACTGGGAAGAGGACCACAGGCAAAAAGTCTTCTTATTCAGACAAATAACTCTGATAATCTCATTGATGACCAGCAGCTATACCAGTGATCATTTACCCAGTTATTATATGTACTATAAACTCAAATTAGATAACATTTAAAATTAGCTGTCATTGATCATTTAACTTAATTACTTAATTTTCTGGACTATAAGTCGCACTTTTTTTCATCCTTTAGCTGGGTTTGCGACTTATACTCAGGTGCAACACATTGACAGCCGCTAGAGGGCACTCTAGGCTTGTGTACCAGTATCTGCTAGTCCTGTAGCACTGAAAATGTACATGTTTGTTATTTTTACACTGATCGCCCGCTAGAGGGCACTGGTGCGACTTAGACTAAAGGGCGGCTTATATATGTTTTTTTGGTTCGGAATAGGGCAAGAGGAAATACTCTACAATTACAACAGTGATCACCAACTTGCGGCCCGTGAGCCAGATCCCGCCCGCTAAACCGTCCAATCCGACCTGCGACTAGATTCCAAAATAAACATCAAATAATAATCTCTGACAAAAATTTAATTTTTTAAAAAGTGTTCAGCTACCAAGACATCTTACCAGGAAAATTCTGGCCTTCTGACTAATATGGTTGGTGACCCCTGACCTACACTGTGGTAAAGATTCATCCAGGAAAATTCTGGCCCTGACCTACACTGTGGTAAAGATTCAGTAAAGTCACATTAACATGAAAGAAGGTTTGGATATGTGGAAAATAAACAATTAAAATCAACAGGATTCTGTTTTGTTAGACTGAATATTATGGGATGTTTTTTTCCAGCAAACCACTGTGTGTTCAGTGTTTAGTGAATGGGTCGACACAGTCTGCGGCATGTACAACATGTATATAAAGGTATCAGCAGGAATAATAACAACTTTACTGCATGGCTGCGATGGTTCACTACAGCAGTTTGGCCACAGCGCCACAGAATCCAGTGGAGCGCTTGGACCGAAGCCAACGTAAATGATACACTGCACTCGACCCTGAGTCACGAGTTATCAAAATATGGGTGAAACTCAAGTTGCCTCACCAACTAACCCCAAGTCACCATTGGGATGTAATACAGGGTTATACTACAACTTGGCTTCCAAATTAGGGTCCACAGCAAAAGCATAATGACAGTCTTTGAGGAAAATCCTGAGCCACTCTCCCTGGCCTGGTCTGTCAGCCCGCCAGCCCCGGGAGAAGCCGTTTTTATTTCTTCACCCAACATAAGCAGATTGGCGTCTCTGGCATGCCCAGACCTCACGATATACTGTGTGCCTTCACAATAAACCCTGTGTGTAAAACCACTTAATGCTTTGTTTTGACAAACGCAGAGTAAGAACATGGTAGTCTCTCTAAAAACCCCAGGCTCAGCTCCCATTTATCCAGGGGCTTGCATTGCAGCGGCCGTGCACACTGAGCTGGGCGTTTGTCAGACAGTGGCTCCCCCTGCTGCAAACTCAACAACGCTAACAAAAGGGAGAGAGAGAGAGGGGGGAGTAGAGAGGGCAGGGTTATGTGGTGGAGGTGAAGGTGGGGGTGGGGAGGTGGGGGGTTAGGCATTGTTTTCTAAAACAGTTTCTATCCACACTGCACTGTTAACACTTCGTTTCACTTTTTTTATTCACACCTGCAAACAGAAAATGACACAAAACAAGTGATCCCTGCAGTAATCACTACTAATCGATTGATTTCGACTCAAAACAAATAAAAATGGGAAATGTCAGGAAATGTATGTTAAGACTAATTCACAACACACATCAGTGTGTGGGTTGTTACAACTAACAATTGACTGCTAATTTAATTAAATAAAAAAATTTTCTGACGACAGACTCGAGCCTTTTAATCGACCTACATTTATGATTATGATCGTTTTGTCCGCAGCAGCTGTAAACTGTATATAATCGAAACAAAAAAAATATGATTTGACATTAGTGTCAGTTTATAACTCAACAAAAAAAGATTTGACATTAGTGTCAGTTTATAACTTTAGCGAAACAGTCTGCCAAACCCAGACATTATATGAGCAAACCAACTAATCGAATAAGCAAGAACAATCGTGCCCACTTTGATCGATGCTGCAGCCTGGCTCGTTTGTTTTGTTCACCCACAGGGAGCCAGGAACCGGCCAAGCCGGCAAACTTCAACCCGGTGTTATTTGAATGACGGACTGATTCTGTCCGAACGCCGCTTTCGCCTCTGTCACTTTAACAACTCGCTGCCATTATATTAACACAGACACAACAGACACAAACACACGCAGGTTTCAGTTACTATTGTGGCGGTCGTTGTTGTCCTTTTTGTCGCCGTGTCTCCTCACAGTCAAACTTACAGACATTAGTGTAAAATGTCTGTTTCGGGGGAACTCACCTCACTGCAGGGTTTTGATGTATTGTCTCCCAAACGCTGAGAAAAAAAGTGGCGAAAACGGGTTCAGTATCCGGCAAAGATAGGTTGAAGCGGTGAGAGTTTGTGTCACCTCCGCGGCAGCTTCCATTCTGTGAGGAATACTGCGGCCAGCCGATTTCATTTCGCCGACGTCAGCTCCAGAGTGACTCCGCCGACGGGGCGGGGCTCCCAGTAAATACACTTAGTAAATAAAGGCTGTTTAAAAACGAGGTGGTTTCTGTCGGCAAACTGCGCTGCACCGCAGTGACGTGGTGACGCGTCCCTTTAAGGAGGCGTTACCCGTGGTCGTTGTAGCCAATCACAGGGTTTGTTTTTGTGTGCGTATTCAGACACGTGGACGGGAAATTCCCTGTAGCACGGGACACGCTTTCACACTTACGACTGAGTTCTGCTGCTCAAGGGAACGCTGTCAATTTAGGAGGAGTATTTTTAGAACATTTCAAGTTAGTTGAGAACGAACTGGCTGTTCTACATTTAGACATTTATAAGTATTTAAAATAAATGCATCAATAGATGCGTGGCGTTTTGGGGACAAAGAATATCATTTTTTTGTCATGGTTGTCCTGTTCACATTAGACCGTTGCTAAGAATAGAAGCAGTGGTTGCTGATTCAGCATGAACATAGAAGCAGAAGTTTGCTTCTAGATAAAAGTGTAACAGTTATTATTCATGTAAACCACTGTTATGATGATGAGGATCATATTTTGTGGGTTGAGTTAAATATGACATAGTGGTAAAATAGAGGTATGTCCGGTTTTATGCTCTTTTTTAGTATGTAATATGGCGGGATTTAGCGAGAACTGCTAGCCTAGCTATTAGCCCAGCAACATCTGAACTTTGTTTCAAAAAAGACAAAGTTAGATAAAATTTTAAAAAAGGCTAATATTCAAAATACTTAAGAAAATTTCTGAAAACACATATAGAGTTTAAATAGTCAATGAAAACAAGCAAAAATATAGTTACCAAAAATAATTTTAAAAATTGCCATAGGAATGATGCTAACAGCCTCTGAACGAACACACGGTTTAAACCAGGATTAAAATGATATTTTTTAAATTTTTTTTAAGAAGGCTGTACAATATACTATATATATATATTTTTTTTTAAGAAGGCTGTACAATATACTCCATGCTTTGTTATAACAGGTGTGACATAGTCACGAGTGCCAAGACAAAAAATGTGGTACCATATAAGAAAGTCATGTGTGGCAGAAAGACTTTTAGGAGTGGTGCAAGACATGTGAGGACAGTGACAGTGTTGAAGTATGTGGTTGTTATGACAGACAGGTTTCACTGAAGCACCGGGTTACGCAAGGGACCCCCATTGAGTGCATGTTGTTTTGAACTGTGATTGACAAGCCCGCAGATGATAAATGAGCAGATTCCTTGGCCTCCACTATTATGCTTTGTAGATTAAATTTTAATCTTGTGTGGGAGTAGGGAGCTGGTGGAAGGGAGCCTGGAGAGTTTACTTATCAGTGGAAAGAGAACTCCAACTCAGAACGAAAGATGAAGATACAGTAGATGGCGTGGTTAAGTCACGTGAGGACCGAGGGTCTGCTAATTAAAGCGGAGAAGTTGGTTGGTGCCACAGGAGAACGCGGTAAAGAGAAACAAGTGATCTGCTGTGTCTGCCAAGTCGCAAAAATACGGGATAAAGACTTGGAATATTAAAATCCCAGCAGTTGTCAAAGTGTCATATCACATTACCGCTGTTATGATGTTTTATTTACGCTGCGTAAAACTGACCTACATCTGCGAGTGGCCTAGATTATCGTTAGTTTAATGAGGCACTTACAGCAGAGAACATTTCTGCACCACGTTAATAAAACATGTAAACAAGTGTGTGAACACACAGGTTAGTAAATAATAAAATTGATACATAAACAAACAAATTACTGTTAATTAGCATTCGTGATGATAAATGATTCAGATGCTTATTGCAAAACAATTAAAGATTTAGAGAGTTATTATTTGAAAGATAGAAAATTGATTATCCTCCAGAGCAGACCTGGACAAACTACGGCCCACGGTCCAGATACGGCCCACTGGGCTTTTTAATCTGGTCCCTACCCCCCAGGTTAGAGACCGTGTTATTGAGCAAACATACTAAATAATGTAATGTATGACATCGTGCATGTCCAAGTAACTCTGTCTGATCCAAGTGAACAACAACAACAATGACATACTGATTTTTGACAGCGATCCGTGTCATTGTTGGCTTGACTGTAGCAGGCTTGTTGTTATGAAAGCCGGGGCAGGTGCCAGTGACCTGCCCCCTCCCCTTGGGGCCATCTCTGATCAATCAACCCTTTGACAGCTGGAGCTTAGGCCGACCTGCATTCTCTCACAGCGCATCCCCCGCCTCCCCCAACTCCTCTTGCTTTCACTCTGTCCTTCAGCTGCGATCGAAGTCACGGTTCTCTGCTTCACACTAGCCTGCACCGGAGAGACCTCTCAGGTTTGGACCTCGTCCCACCTGTGGTCCATACACAGGACACGGGACATCTGATCACTTCCTGCGTGAACAAGCACTACAAATGACAAAAGATGCAAAGACGTGAGAGGGCGTTAGTTACGACCCTGTGTTTACCTGCAGCCTTCGACGATGACATTGACAAGCGTTAGCTTTGTGTGAACATAAACAAGTTCCCGCTGACGCCTGAGAACCCTGGGAGGAACGGAGGGACGGTAGGCATCGGTTATTGTTACGGTACCCACAGATCTCTCTGTGACTGTTTCTGAGAAGCGATGCACGTCCACACACACACACACACACACACACTTAACCAAGGATGCACAAACACACATGGATGCACAATCACATGCCCTAGTTCCTCTGTAACCTCAAAAGCCCATTCCACCTCTTGATATCTCATTCTTGATATGAATGCACACACACACACATACACACACACACAAACACACATGTGTTGACTCCAAACCAAAACATTGTCAGCATTTGAATCCTGCCCGGAGACGAAGAGGAAGACGTTTCATTTGCTCCGGCTGGACATTTTTCACGGCAACAACATTCGTGCGTACCAGTGTGTTTGTACCGGCGGCGCAGATCGTACGGAAGCGCTGACCTGATAACGGACGGAAACGGAAGCTCGATTCCTGCCTTTCCTCAGCGATCATCGGGTCTTTAGCTACGGAAAAACATGAAACTGCAAAATAATTTATATATTCTACAACAGCGGTCCTCAACCCCAGGTTCGGGGACCGGTGCTGGTCCGTAGGTCAATTGGTACCGGGCCGCAGTGGGACACAGTGACAAAATGTACTTCAGTTTTATTAATTCACACAACAATGGCGCCGTATTTCCGATCCGCAGTAACGGCCGACCGGTCCTCGGTACCAAAGATGGTTGGGGACTGCTGCTGTACGACACGGGCGTCGACTTTCTCGTGGTTTTTTGTGTGCAGGTAGCGTAAAGAGAGCCATCTGATTCTCACCAACCTGTAGACAAGCTGTCGCACTCGTCCTTGTTCGCGTCCGTGGGAAACTGGTGCGAACAAATGCGGTGTTTGTTCAGCATATCATCAAAGTCTTCAGATGTTTATTTTAAACCCTGTATGTAAAGTGAGCAGCATTTGACCTTTGTCTTTGTTTTCATGAATATTCTGAATGTATGTAACCACAGTGAGTGTTGGATGTGCGTTGAACCAAACTGTCCAATTTGGTCGGTGACTGGACTTCAAATAATGTGAGGATCAAAAAGAAAATATCACGTTGTCGCCTTACTAGCAACCATAAGGTTTCCTTGAGCCGCTGTCTTTGGCGGAACGGCTAGTCAAATCCGCAGATGTGTTTTAAGAACAGCGTTTTAATTGGACGCCCTTTACAGGGAACGTTCCATCATTTATCCGGACTCGAAGCTGGTGCAGTGTGAAAACACACAATTTCAAACGATCATCGTTTTGATGCACTTTATTGTTAGGGTAATATATGTTCTAGGTTTTAAAACCAGAAAAGCATACAGCAGTGATTATCTACTAGCGGTTCGCGGGTTAAATCTGGTCCACAAACTGTCCAACCCGGCCCGCCACCGCATTCCAAAATAAGTATAAGTATAAATATCAATCCCTTATTCGTCCCACAATGATGAAAGTTACAGTGTCTTTCCAAGACACATGCTGCCACAGGAGGCGCCATTAAGTATGTGGTTCCTCTGGGACTCGAACTCAAGAACCACATGCACATTTTCACACATAAACATCCAATAATATTTTATTTGAGTGCCCGCCCCCCCCCCACCCCCCCGCCCCAAGGTGTCCGTCCAGAAACTTCCGGGCCATTGACAAATATAATTGGTGGCACCTGGCGGTTTAAGCCGATATTTTTCTCTGTGGTAAAGGAGCATAAATCTAAATTGTACCATGTGCCGCTGCAATGACCCTTCGCTGAACCGACCGCTGTCCTATTGTCTCTGCAGGCGACTGCCGTTCTCCTACTGCAGCGTTACAGCATCATAGCCGTAGTGAGTTGACGCCTGGTGCTTCACTGACAGCAGGTAAGGCTTTCATGTCCAGTGAGAAGAATCAATTAAAAAGCAGAGGCCCGTCTTCAAACGTCTCCTGACAGCTACTCTGAGACCGCGGGTGTCTCAGAAAGTCTGCTCTGGACCTAATGAGACCGACTGGTGCGTCGGGCTGCTCTGCTCGCTCTCGGCAACAACACTTGCGCACACACACAGTCGATAAGATTAACAACGTGCGCTGGAGAGACGGCCATTTTTCAGACCTCCACCCTCAGAGCGGGGCTTGTCCAAACAGCTGTGGAGAAGTGACGCAGCACAGCGGCCATACAGGGGCTCTAGAACTGGGAGACCACACTCAGCGAGTGAGTCAATCGCACACAGGGGCCGAGATCATTTAAACAGCTCTCAAATACCACACACGTCATTCCAAGTGTGAACAAAGGTGACACCGCTGCTGACGGTGGTTTACAGGAGTTTTATCTCGCTTTTCAACATCACATCCCCCACGTGGTGATAATGAAAAAAAAACACCAAATGGTCCAATATTTAATCACATTAAATCATTAAACCAGGTTTGTCAAACATAAGGCCTGTGGGCCAAAACCAGCCCGCTAGGCTGTTCAATCTGGGTCCCTTGATGAATTTTGAAAAAAAAAAAAAAAAATCACACACTGGGGGCAGAGATAATTCAAACAGCCCTCGAAACTCAAACATGTCATTTAAAGTGTGAACGAAGAACTTTTCTCCAACATCAAAGGTGTGACACCGCTGCTGACGGTGGTTTATTTTCAACAACACATCCCCAAGTGGTGATAATAAAAATTTAAAAATTTAATCACATTAAACTGTTAGGTCAGGTATGTCAAACATGAGGCCCGGGGGCCAAAACAGGCCCGCTGGGGTGTTCAATCTGGCCCGCTTGATGTATTTTGAAAAATTACCGGATTCTCTACGACTCGCGCCCAAATATTAGCATGATCTGTAATATCTGTGAGAATCATTATCGTTTTTTTTCCTCCGACAATAAACGAAAATAGTAGTAATAATTAGTCCTACAAAACTGCACTGCTTTAATTGAATTTGAACAACTAAAAATAATAATA